GGGAGCCTGCTTCTCCCTCTGACCCTCTCCCCTCTCATGCTGTTTCCCTCTCGGTCGCTCTCTAAAAAATAAATAAAATCTTAAAAAAAAAAAAATAATAATAAAACAACCCCAAAACCTCTTCCCACTTCCACAAGTCATGTTGGGCCTTAAAGGTTTCAAGATTTTCCAAACGTCTCTCAGTCTCTACAACCGGCCATGCCGATGCATTATAGGTCACCATGGCTGCTCGAGTTCATGAGGATGCTTGCCATTTGCTTCTCCAGCCTCATCCAAATCCCAGCTCTAATGGAGCAGGGTGCATCTCTGGCCACACAAAAGCCTTCTGGGCTCTGTTCTTCTGTTCAACAGATATTTAATAAACCCCCAACTGTGTCCTGCCACGAGATCATATCAGTGGACAAAACAGACAATAATTCCTGTCCTCGTGGAACCCACGTGGGTGGGGACAATAAGCAAATAAAACAGAGTGTGCCCCACAGCAGGATATGTTACGTGGGTAACAATCTATCAAGCAAAGAGGAAGAGGAAGTCCGGGGTGGGGAGGAAGTTGAGATTTTAATATGGTCTGGAATGGCGCCACGGGAGCAAAGTCCTGAAATGCATGTACCCCGTGCAGGCACCCACAGCTCTCGCTGTCTTCTTGCTCCTGCTTTCATAAGGCAGCGCCATGGAGAACTAATGTTTGCTGAGCATATCTCACGGGCCAAGCACGTTCCGTGTAGGAGTCCAGCCCATCCTCGCGTCCCTGTGGGTCACTCGCTGTGAGCGGTGTTTAACCATAAGGACGCTGACAAGGAGAAAGGTGAACTGATTTCCTGAATTCGGTCACACAGCCTGGATAGGAGGGCGAAGATACAAACCCACGCATTTCAGATTCCAAATTCACGCTCCATGTGCTCTCCTGCTTGTCTGGCTTTTGACTTGATCCTTGCGTTCCTCATACCTTACCACACAGCTTCACCTACTTCCCTCCTAACCACGCCATTCACAAAATTTTAGTACTAGTTTTCTGTCTCCTTGTAGGAAACAGCTGCCCTGCGGCAGAGCAGTGGAAGAAGAGAACACTGGGATCTCCACACAGGGTCTCTGAGCTATGGCCACAAAATGGCAGAAGACAAGAATAACGAAGATAACAACGACAGAAGTAATGAGCTATTTTACACATCCGTATGTTTATACTGGGTCCTTCCTATTGGCCAGGCACCACACTCAGAGCGTTGCATGGGCCTGTCCACAATATTGGTAGGGCCGAGGATAAGGACGGTACTGGCTTTAAATATATTATCTGATTTAAATATATAATCCTTGGTATCTTCGACTTCTTAATTGAGGAAATTAAAGCTTATAGGAGTCAAATAACTTGTCTGCAGCACCCACAGCTAGTAACAGAGAACACCCATGACTCTAACACGATGCTGATCTCCAGAAGTTGGCAAATGTTTTCTGGAAGGGGCCAGAGAGTAAATATTTCAGGACTTTCAGGCTTTTCTGTCCTGCCCACTCTATCTTTGGAGCAGGAAAGCAGTCATCGACACCATGTAAATGAATGGGCATGGCTGTGTTCCAATAAAATGTATTTATAAAACAGGCAGTGGGCCAGCCTCCCCTCGGGAGCCACAGTGTGTTGACCCCTGCTATAACCGAAGGAGGAGTGACCCCTGCTATAACCAAAGAAGGAGAAGGCCATTCCTTTCCACTCAGCACAGGCATCAGTATCAAGTAACGTGATCATTTTTTTTGGAAAGTCCTTGTATTGACATATGGTTTAAGGAAATAGTAAGCCATATAAAATCATCTCTACTTAGGCTTGCAAATTTCTTAGAGAGTATCACATTCTTACAAATGTGAACACAATATCACAAAGATTAAGATGCTTCTCTATTATGACATTTCATCCTTCAACATCTGCTTTAATACATTGATCTCAGCGGCAGGGGGGAGAACTGCTCTCTCCAATTCTCGGGGCGGGGCAAGCCCTCATTTTGAAAGTAGAAAATCAAGCAAATGAGAAGCTACATGCCTTTCTGGCCTCCAAGGAGATGAAACCAGACTGCAGGTTGCTTTGGTGAATCTGGTTAAGAAAATCTGGGCTCTGATCAGAGACCTCTACACAGAGCATAAAGGAGTCAGTTCTGCAAACCACTGACAGTGGACAAAACCAGAACCTGAAGAACCAAACTCTGGTTACTGATTGGTTTGGCTCAGCACTGAGACGCATTTTCAAAGCAGCTTGAGAAGCACCACGGCTTCTGGGACTGGAGTCATTATTTGATCTCTCACTCACAGGCTGAAGGTATCCCCATTTTAGTGCACGGAATAACTAGAGACTAGGCCATCTCTCCCCTGATATTTTTATGATGCTCATCCAAAGGGAATTGAAGAGGAAATGCAGGTCAACAATGTTTGTCCTTCCATATTAGAATGAAAAATATTTAAACCTGTTATTTGAAAACTGTGTGAGAAGTTAATCATTGTGTAAATAGTACAAATGTACTTTCACGAACCTTCCCCAGAAGCTCTTAAGTGATAAAAGAACAACACTTCTCCTTCCTATTTACATCAACCTGAAAAGGGGACAATTTTCTATCTCTGGGCCAAGCATGTTATGATGTTTACTATGGCTTCACTTTTTGTTTAATTACGTGAAGCAAAGAGAATCTTTTCGCTATTAAATACAAGTGAAATTCTACCTTTTAACTTAAACTCAAACAACCCACTGAAAAGATCTACAAATAACATTAGTGATACAAGACAGACACAATCTCACGATTTTATTACTTAAAAAAAAAAAAATCCCAACTTTAGATAGCTGAAATGAAACATGGCCCTACTTAGCTTCACTCTGGTCTGGTGAATCCCCACCTGGCAAATTATGACAGTAACATCTGATTCTGGTCTCATGGATGGTTAAACAATAAAGCCCCGGAATGTGGAGCCCAGAACAGGTGTTTGATGCTGCAGCCTAGATGCAGCAGGGGACCAATGGCGAGGCCTCAGATCAGATTTAACCTGGAAGCTGCCAGCTTCTGCTGAGCCAAGACTCCCACCTTGTTCTTTTTTTTTTAATCTCACATATTTGATGGGCGGGAAAATTTTTCAGAAGGTTGAATGTATTTGGATGTGACTTTATTCATATTCCAAGAAAATGACTCCAAAAGCATTTCTTGTACATTTCTCTCTTGTGCGGCTCCTCATCCTCGGCGCTGCGTTCCCGTGGTAGAGAGGAAGAGCTTCTTTCTATCACTTCTCCACGAAATAGATTTCTTCCGTTCTTTCCTCAGCATATCTATGAACAGCTGGGATAATAATGTCATTGCTTTCACCTTCTGAGAACCGGATTCTCCTCTACGTCTT